GATTCTTCTATAGTAACAGGTGTATATGCGCTAAATTCTTTCAATCTCTTTTATAGACTATCTTTATTATGAGTGACATACAAACACATTTTTGTCATAGGCACTTTCATAGGTTCCTGCAGTCTTATCTTTTGATAATAGATGTATAGAATACGATACTTTCTTCATAATATGAAGGAGTATTCTTGTAAGTCTTTACATTGGAAAAATATTCATTGTGTTCTCTTCTGAATTTCGAAAAGATGAATGTGTGATCAGAGAAATAATACAAGATATCATACGGAAAGTTCATGCAACTTTTTTTGAAACTTTCATAGAAGTGTATGTCATATACATTAATCATGATTATGTCAGCAAGATCAAATTCAATTAAGATGTATTAATTGGGTACAAATGTGTAGCTATTCAAAAGGAATCATGAAACAAAAGGATCAAAGGCAAAACAAGTAGTCAAAATAGGCATCTTAAGGAAAATAATATTGATAAAAGATTGCTTTTTACAATTGATTGAATCATAGCCGGATTTAGATTCATTCCTTACCTGTCCATTGAGTTTAAATTACAATGATTGGGATTTTGCTAGAAAATGTTGTGAGAGTTTATTTAAACTCACATTGAATCTACTATTTCTAGACTTTTGAAAATATTTTATTGTACTCATAGAATTTTTCTATACAAATTCTTGTTCTGGACAAATTATCACGTTCGATTTTCTTTCTCTTCAAACAGTCAGAGTACTGATGTTTAGCATAACACAACCTTTGAACTTTTATCTTTATTTTTTTTTTAGTTGTAACTTTATGCTTCTTGGTCATATGATGAATACTAAAATATGGTGCAAATATTTTGAAATTGATTATTGTTCAAATGTCACCTACATGACACTTCCGAGTCGCCTCGGCCGTTTTAGACACTCGCTGGGGTTTAGCCCACCGATACTGGGAGTTACTCACTCTCAGCTACAATGTTCCTAAGATGATATATGGAACAAGGGTCTTCAATGACTTTTTCCGATGTTAAAATCACTACCTTTCTTGTTTTTTCCCAAAAGTCATTGATTAATTCCGCATGTGCAAGCACAACGGGTCATTAGACATCACCATTTCCTTATCTTACAGCAAGGTGATTTTTAATGATCCTGCTCGTTCCCAAAATCGCACTACGTTGCATTCTCTCGAGACAGTCACCAGTTGCAACCTGATTTAAGCCAATTTTTTCCATTAAATCTCCTTTTAGGTTCGAAAGCACTTCGCCACATGTGCCAAGGACCACCGGTAAGAAGGAAACTTTCCATCCAGCAGTTTGTAATTCACGTAGTAAATTATCTCCTATTGGGTATGGCAGTTTCGTAACTTCTTCCCAATTACCATTGACACAGTAACGATTTGTTTTTATTTGTACCTGTCTTTCAATACCAGTAAACCATGATATTGCAACCTCGATTATCAAGGCTGTCTTTCCTGGCTTATCGAAGATTATCAAATCTGGTTTGTTATGGCGAATGATCGTTTTGGTTTGTACTGGTTGATTCCAATATAACTTTATCCTCTCATTCTCTAGAACCGATTCCACTTTCTGTGAGTAGTGTGCAGGAGTGAGACCGTATTTTTGACATATTCTATAGTGTATGTTTCTAGCAACTGAGTCGTGACGGTCAACGTATAGGGTCGACAACCACTTTGAACAACTTGAAAGGACATGCTCAATTGTTTCAAGATGGCACCCACACGCCCTACAACTCTTATCGTTCGAATTTGCTTGTGAAGAATGTGTGCGCGTTATTAAGCATCCTTCTTGAGCTGCTAGAGCATTCCTTACCGCTACCGATGATAGTTTCCCTTGCTTGAGCCAAGTAAAGGACTCTATCATATCCATGCTAGAGTTTGAACGTAGAACACGTCCTGCTAGCTCTAATTCTTTCCATGTTTTGTACCGTCCGTTGTTATTGACAGTACGCATTAGCCCGACCACGTGTCTTGCTAATGTTCTTGCGTCGTTAAAAGAAGCACCATCTATAATGACAGTGGAACGCACTTCTTCTAACTTATAGTCTATATCATATGCCTTTAAAATGCTGCCTGCATCACTAACTACACATCGTTTCCCCCGGTTAACCATACCCAAAAAACAGATTTAATGATCCTTTTAATTCTGCTTTCGTACAGAGATACGCCCATAGGTATATGGTGGACTCCTCTATGGCGTCCTTAATCGATTTGAGACCATATCCTCCCATTTCAGCTGGCAGGTACAATCTTGCTACACAGCTGGATTTTTGTCTAGCTTTAAGCTCCACAAGTAGTTTGCGGTACTTCTTATCTAGATCTTCGCCCCGTTTTAAGACACTTGCGTATGTACCACTACCTTTAATTATGCAACTGGCTATATACTTAAATACAGGAATGATAGTGGTGTTATAGGAATTCACTTTTTGTCGAAAAGTAAGATCGGAATCCCATAAGCGATGTGCTTTATCATAACACCTGTCGTTCGCACGATCCCATGCTTCAGACTCCTTTAAACCTAGCTTCTATTCCATGCCCAGATATTTGTAGACTGCTTCACCATCTAGCATCGGGAAGCTTATACTTCTGTCAGTAGATGTGTCATTATCTACATCTGTCTGTTCACTTCGCATTCGTTTCGGTATAAAGTGTGTTACAGCACATTTTTTAACATTCAATTTCATGTTAATGTCCTCTGAAATTGATGCTACGACTTTGATCTGTTCCATTAGACTTTCAGGTGAGTTTGCATACAGCTTAAGATCATCCATATAGAAAAGATGAGACAACGAGATTTGCACCTTTTTAAATTTCCCAGAGGCGGTGGTATAGCCACCTTTAACACTATTTATTGCGTGACTGATGGGAGCCATCGCTAGACAGAACAACAAGGGGCTGAAGCTATCTCCTTGAAGGACTCCGGAACGAATCCTTAGATAATTACTATGTTCTATCTTACCTCTAGGACTTCTCGCTTCATATCGTACTCTCCAATTATTCATGACGCTTTTCAAAAACTTTCGTAACAGGTCAGGAACTTGCATTACTTTGAGCAGCCATTTGATATAACTATGTGGCAGACTATCGAATGCCTTTGCATAGTCTATCCAAGCTACGCTAATAGGTCTCTGCTCCTGATCTTGTGCGTCTGCTATTAACGTTTGGTCAAGAGTGAGAGCATGTGAGCAAGCCCACACGCCTCGTCGTAATGCTATTTGCTCGTTGTTCAGTATATCTCGCCCCCTCACATACTGATCTAAATATGCGGCTCTAAAACCTGTTACTAGCTTGTAGCAGATATTTAAACAAGCTATAGGTCTGAAATTTGCGGGCTCAGACCTAGATCCGGATTTATGTATGAGTACTATACGTCCGTCGGTTATCCACCTCTGCGGTAAGGGTTCGCCAGATAAGATATGATGAAGAGTTAAATCATAAAGTGTTGCATTGGCTGAATCGAACACTTTCCACCAGTACCCCTGCAACTTATCTGGACCATGTGCTTTCCATGGTTTTATCTTTTGAACAACCTTCTGCCAAAGTTCAGGGTTCAATTGACCTTTAAGATCAGTCTCCCTCTGAATATTTGACATCGATTGTTCCCATGCTACTAGCCGTGGACTCTTCGAGTTAAAAGACTTTTTCACCCCTACAATTTCCTTCCAGAACTTTCTGATCTGATGGATATCAACTGGTTCTGAATCAGTACACGTGCCCCGGAATAGCATCTTAGTCGGCATCTGACGAACGCGTACACGTTCTTCATCTGCTTTTCTTAATGCTATTCGCGATTGCAAAAGTTGAAGTCTGCACTTCAATCTTTCTACAAGAGATGTTATTTCAGCCCGTGACTCCACCTTATATCTCTTTTTAAGCATCCTGATGTTATGAAACTGCTTAGTTGTAAGGGCTACTTCCGCACTTCTCACCCGTCTATTTAACTCACTAGTAGCTTTACCGATGACGCGGCGCAAATTCTCACATTCACTATATGTGATCTTAAACCATTCTCTTGATCGTTGTTGTTTTTCAAGACATTTTCGGTTTCCTACCTTAGAAACTGTCATCGCACCAGCGTAAACTAGATTTGACAACTGATTCCAAGATATTCCACCTACTACCAAATCTAACTCACTTTTTATCAGTCGATTAACTTCGCAGATGATAGGTTTAATATGCTTGCCGGAGACTCTTAGTGGCGTTTTTCTCAACGTCATCCGACATCCTATCTTTTGTGCCTTTTTATATTCTTTCCTGAAGGTTGACTTAACAACATCATCAGCCAAATCAGCCGGTACGCACTGATCTGGTTTTATGACTGTAGGATTTACATCGTTACTATTACTACCGGCGTTGTGGTTGACATCTACAGTAGTGTCAGATGGAACAGCAACGACTTTCAAATGCAATTTCGTCTTCTTTTGTGTCAAAGACGAATCACTAACACTCACACTGGCGGATTTGGTCTTGATATCACGCCACTTGCTGCTAAGGCCTGCCTTAGTCCTTTTGGGCAGATTCAGATCTATCCAAGCTTTTTCGACGTCATTCCAAGATATCGTACCTGATGGTTTGACATTGCTTGGAACTAATCGCTTTAGCTTTTCAATTTCCTCTTCTGACGAAACTGATGCCTTCCCCGATCCAGCGGGTTTGTCACCACTCGGTCCTTTTCCTCCTTGCGGAGTGCTATTTTCGAACCGACGAGTGGGTGTAGGAGCCACATGAATGCTAGCACTAGGACCTTGATCTTGGCTAGAAGTATCGACAATTACTGCTGGGGCAACTGCACGACGACTTCTAGTTGCAATAGGTTGCCGAGATTCGGCACTCGATCGCTCAGCCAGTCCGGATAAGGATGCTGCGCGCTTCCCGCCACCGGGTTTCACTGATTAATAGAATGTAGCTGTCTCTAGATGATGTCCTCCAGAGACCACTCATTTAGAACTTTATTTCGGTGGTTCATTGGCTACTTTGATAAATATTTTGAAAAGTATGCCTAATTTACTATATTTAAAATTCGAAACAGGAGCAATTAATTTAAATGGAAATCAATGGAAACAAATCTTAATAAATTATGTACCTAAGATTAAAACATTTCGATTTCTAATAAAAGTTTTATCACTGAAATATAATAATGTAGAGAAACATCTCGAAGATTTCTTGAGTACCTTTCAAACACCATTTTGGATTGATGATCATCAATGGTTTGTTCGATGTGATTGGCCACAACATACTAATAAAGTATTTGTTCTCTATACTTTACCCTATTGTTTTGGTAATACTTATATTATTTATCAGAATCGATGGTCGAAAACAACTTATCCTAATGTTCGTGATTGTAACCATTACGATCGAGTAAAGGATGTATTCCATAAAGGACGTATGAATGATTTAACTCTATTTCCTATATACTATCCAAACATTCGTTGTCTGACATTGAAATTACCTTTCGATAATAATTTTTGGACTATAATTCCAAGAATAGATCAATTGATCTCGTTGGAAGTAATTGAAACACGAGAAAATAATCGATCCAAATCTCAACTGAAAGATTTACTTAATCGTGCGCCTCGTCTAGATTATCTAAGTGTTGATGCGATATCATTTTTACATTTGATACACTCGAATATTACCCATACATCACTTCGTCGACTTCAATTGAAATCTTATCATTCTCGAATGAATCACTATTTAAATGTTACACAATATTCTCTATTGACTGATTCATTACTTGGACGCCAATGTGAAGTTCTTTTAATTCATGTTGAAAATCGAACAATTATCCTTGATCTTATACATAAGATGTACAATCTTCGAGCATTGAATTTTGCATGTCAAGATGATAATTGGACCGACAATGTATCATCACATCCAAACGATGAACTTGTTGAATGGTTACGAAATTCTTTGCCAGAAACATATTCAGTTAGTCGACATCGATCTCGTCTTGTACGAATATGGACTAATCGGTAAACAAGTGAATAGACTTGTTGTTCGATAGAAAAATATCATTTTTTTTCTTGATCTGGCAATAAATTTGACCATTGCTGACTATACAAAATGATTGTTTTTTTTTGCAATGGCATCTGACTATTCTCATGCTATAGTAATTAGTTTATTGATTTATTTATTGAGATTGATCATAGTAATTAGATCGGCTGTGTTCAAATGTTCAAAAAGAATATATTAACGTTTATCAAGGGCATAACGGTAAATAATATCATCGCATGAGAATGAATTTTTGACAAATTTCCAGTAATTACCAAGCCATTAAGAAGATTTCCATAATTTCTTTACTTTTAATGCAGATAGATTAAGAAATAAATCTACAGAAATAGAGAACGTCAACTCGATAACACTGCGAATTTTCAGCAGTGAATAAGAAAATGACGAAAATTTGAATAATTTTCTGGTAGCTATGGAGATTTCTCATTATTTTGCACGTAGTGTTTTTGTTTCTATTTCTAGACATTTATTTCTTAATAAATATACATAAAAGGTTAAGAAATTATGGAAACTTCTAAAATTGCCAATAGTTAAACGAGTAATGTCTTCTTCCTATCATTAGTATGGATTGAAATTTCTCTAATAATCTTCGAAGTTTATGAGTAGTTTCTATAGTCTTCAATCTTTCAAGAATTCTAATTGTGGAAGTTACCTCTTTGAAACTCAGTAATTTCAAAATTTACGCAGAGAATTTATGTGCAATTGCAGAAGAATTTTCTCATTGTTGAAGTATCTTCATATTTGTTTTCATGATAAATTTTTGTGAATTCTAGGAACTTTCCCAGAAGTTTCGACATCTTTTGTCTATGCATCATGATGCTATACTAACAGTTTCCATAGACAAAGAAATCTACTTGTTTTGGAAATTTCAACATCCCTTAGTTCAGCATGATATTTTAAAGCTTTCTTTGGATATGAGAACAAACAGTTCTTGATGACATTCGATAAGTATTTTAGCCTGTGCTTGCCAAGTAATGATACAATTAAAGGTCTTCTACTTTGATTAAATTACATAGGTTGAAAGAACGCATATATATATTTGCGATTTTAGTTATTTTTCTATTATTTCGACAATTTCTCGAATGCTTATATATATATATTGACTTTTATTCAGACTTCACCTGTTTATCTACTTATTACAATATGTACGAAATGAAGTTGGTTTTTTTCGAGTTTGACATGGATCAACAAAATCTAAATTCATATTTTAAGATTGTTATTGAACGAAAAGAGTTGAACACAAGCCATTTCAGAATGATAATGAACAAGAAAAGAAATCGAATTCATTTCGTAGAAAAACAGGGACTCATAGTCGTTCTACTTTTATTCAGACCAGGGGCGTAAGTTATCATCGAAGGCGAGCGGGGAAGGGCGCAACATAGGAAAACATCCAAAGTCGTGTGCTACATAGTCAAATTTCAAGAGCAGGGAGCGTTGCATAGGGAAATTTCAAAACCGGGGGACATTACACTCCTTATTGAGGCTAATTGCTCCTATACATTTGCATTTGTCCAATCTATCAATGCATTTTGAATATGAAAAAAAAGCTTGACAATACTGGAATGTGGTACTCGTCTAAGTTTATAGTCAGATTTTTGTCCCGCATCCTTCTTACATTGACTCACATAATCGAATATGGTTCTTCTTGTTCTCGACTAATCAGCAAATATAGCATAAATTCGACATGTTTGCACACAAAGCATTTATGATTATCGCTTAGTTCTGGTTCCGTAATGATTTGTTTAAGCAGCATTTTTCTTGATACTGTCAAATATTTTAATTGAGGATACATGAAAAGAAAACGACGAATCAGTTGAGTAGAGAATTGTTCGTAAAAATAATTAATTTGAATAGTTTCAAGTATTGCATAGGAAATAATTTCATGTTCAATAATGATCTAGAGTGAGAGTAACATCATTAACTAGAGCCTAAATAGTAATAGAACGTATAGTATTCAGTATGAGTGTGGGTGTTGGCGTGGCTGTGGCTGTGGATAAAATGGAGACCCACACCCACACCTACTGTAAAAATATCAGCCAAATCGGTGACATCGATTGAGCAAGGGTCTGCTTGAATTGGTCGTGGCTTACGTGCAATGCCTCCTAGGTATTTACTGTAAAAATAAAATTAGGGAATTTCGACCTAAAATTTTGCCTACAAATAGGCCCAATGGTCCTTAAAATAGCGGCGGCGCCAGAATTTTCAGACTGGGGGACTGAGTCCCTACTTAAATTTTTTGGGGGGCACAAACAGATTCTGGAGGAGTCCAGATGCCTTATTAATAAGAATTTTAAAAATTCTAGGGGGGCTCAGGTCTCCTACCCCCCCCCCCCCCCCGTGGCGCCGCCACTACCTTAAAATATCCTGAAAGTTTCAGCCAAAAAGAATGTTTCTTTCTCGAGATGTTACTTTTTCAAGTAGACTCAGTTTTTGTGACGTTATTTTGTGGCAAGCGACTATTTTTTGCAAAAATTAATATCTCGAGAAAGGAACATTCTTTTTGGCTGAAACTTTCAGGATATTTTAAGGACCATTGGGCCTATTTTTAGGCAAAATTTTCGATCGAAATTCCCTAATTTTATTTTTACAGTAAATACCTAGGAATAGACAAGAAATTCAGTAAAACGGTCATAACTCTTGATAGAAGCACCAGAAACCCAAATTCTTTTAGGGTTTTTACTATTTCACTATGCTCATTTAAATGAGATATAAGTGAATCGAAATGGGAGGTTGCACCTTGGAAGGTTCCTTCGTAAGAAAGAAAACGCGTTCCTCTGACATGAAGGCAGAATAATCGATTTTGTGAAGTATTATCTGAAAAGAAAACGAGAGATTCACTCATCCGTCCCGGTGTTGTGTTTCATGGTGCATTCCTTAGTATGATGATTTTGCCTTTTCCTTTCGTTTTATAACAATACGCTAACTTAAGTGTTATTTTTAACAAAACACAGAATTTTGTCATTAGCGAGTTTACGCAGATAAGATTGAAAATTAGTTATTTTCTTTCTCAATCAAATATATAAAAAAAACTCCATTTATAGGTTTAAGCAAAACGTTTTATGTTAAAAGAAGAGACGTTATCTGATGTCGAGCTCAGTAGGAAAAAGCTATCAGAATCATAGTGAACAGCAATCGTATTATTGTTCGGATCTATTAATACATGAAAGAATAGCTTGTGGTAGTTTTCAGAAGTTTATCCCAATTTAGCGTTAAAAGCAACTATTTCAAAGTTGTTAGATAATTCATAATAGTTTATTTTCCTTGTTTGACCCATTTTTCATTAAATCTACGATATTTTATTGTTTCTCTATCATATGTATAAACTAAATGAATATCATTATCATCACTTCCACTCCAAAAACTTTGAACTACTGATGGATATGAATATTCTCCAACATATGTATCATTATCATCATCATGAATTTGAATATCTCTATGATATGGCCATGTGATTCCATTATCATAAGAAAGTGCCACAGTTAATGGTGATCTTGCTGTACCATTAAGATTATTGAATGCCATAATTATAGCTCCACTTTTTAATGTATATGCTTGTATTGCTGCATCATTATTTGGTAGAGATGTTGGTTTTGGTATTGTCCAAGTTAATCCATCATCATTACTATCAGCATAATAAATCCATTGATACCTTTTATCGCGAAAAAATGCTCGTAATTGTAAAGAATTATGCAAACGAATGATTGTTGGTTGAACAAGATTATCACTTTGTTTGATATCAATTCGAGTCCATTTGGATGTAGGTGATGACGTTCGAAGTATATATGAATAGTCATCAATATGATTCAGTGAAGAGTTATAACATGGGAAAATAAGTCCACCTTTGTCGAATGTACGAATAATACGATTACGATCCCATGCACCTGGTGTGCTATAGAATATTTCAGGAGTTGACCATGTTGCACCTAACGAAGATTAAAATCATTTTTTTTAAGTATTTAGATTTCTAATGTATATTATTCACCTCGATCTTTACTGTATGAATGCCACATTTCAGCATACTGTTCCTTTAAATGTCCTAATTGTTGTGTATGATATAGATGCAGTATTTGTGTTTCATTATCCCAAAAAAGAACCGGATTTTGATTTGAATAATTGACACGTTCACTTACAATAACACCAGGTGTAAATTGTTGTGAACCAAGTTCTAGAAGTGATACTGCAATTGAACAATTAGGTTGCTGTTCACCACCTGAAAACCAAGCAATAGCTAAAGTACCACTTGGTGTCATTTGTTCAATGAATGATGCATGACCTCCTGTTCTTGGTGGAAATAAAAATGCATAAGAACTTCCATCACTTGATCGATGAATAATTCCATCAAAGGGAATAATTGCATTTGATTTAGTCAATTGGGTGAAAAGTAATACTATTAATAAGAACATTTTTTTGTGAAACACGATCTAAAAGAGAGTGTTGAAGTATATAGAAGAGAAATTTGGACCTACTCCCCATGTCTAATAAATTAATTGCCCATCACAGACCGTGACAGACAGGCTCTCAGAATAATCAGGGGGTGAGAAACGCGGTCTGGAGACCATCCCATACTGTGACAGACGGCTTCAGAGTACTATCAGAGGTCATGTATAACAGAGATGGGATCGGTTGGCAATTTTTCCTAACCGAACCGAAAGTAACCTACTGAATTGTTTTCTAATGTTCAGTTAGAAAAGAAAACAATTACTCAACAAACTGAATATTAGCAAAAACAAATTGAATATTACCAACAACACTTGAATACCGTCAACATCAAATTGACTGCTAGAATTCCATTCGAGACAAGCTCGAGTTGAAAAGTTGGCTGACTGCAGATGCGATAAGCTACCACGGATGATAATAGACATAAAAGCTCAAGGAATTTTATATGAATGACACCTAAATTTGCTGACTTTCTGCTACTGAATCATTTTTGAATATAAATGACCATCATCAACTGTTAATTATCGTTTTTCTGCATATTTCTTTCGATTGTTTGACCGTCATTAGGAAAGACGCATCTATGCGTTGCCGACTTCATGATGTACTATTTTAAATTTCACAAGGCGATAATTAATGAAAAAATATATGCATTTAACATCTTAGATCTGAATTGCCATGCAAGACTGAATCACCCATAGCCACATAAGGAAACTATTAGCTGTTAAATATCATTTTCGATTTCTTTAATATCTCCCAGACTACACCGAATCTCGAGAAACGGATTTCATATGTGCACTTATGATGTTCTCACGATCTCGTCAAACTTTTTTCCGATTCCAAATTATGTTCGAGCACTAAGAATGCGGAACTGACTAGAATCGTGACTCATATGTTGAGAAGAAGAAGAATTTACTATGGCAACTAAGCGAGTCGAAAGCAATAAGTCGGCTACTGCCTGCACTTCGTGCAGTCAATCGACTTAACTGTAGTGTGGTCGTGCTTTTTTTTTCTTTGTTATATCTCCCGGGAAAATTCGCTGAAATCAAATTAAAAAAATCATTTCGGTTCTTTCCAACCGAACTGAACGTATTCGACCGAATTTGTAAAATTTTCCAACCAAACCGACTTCGGTTACGGTCGGTCGGCTCGGTTCGGTTAAAAACCGAACCGGTCCCATCTCTACCCCTCACGGCAAAACCTCAAAGGTGAGGTTTTGCCGTGAGAGCGGAGTGAGCTGAGGATGCGGAGTGAGACATGGATTTTATGTTTAGTGCGAGACTACACTAAACCGTGCCCATAAATAATGCAGAGTTTTTAATTTCGCTGAAGCGTTTCGTGTTATATTATTTAAGAATTAAATACTCATCAGGGCTCTACATAAAAAGGACGAGAGACATTTTGCAGGGATATTGGCGCTCTAGAAAGACAAGGTATTTCTAGTCGAAACTTTCAGCAATTATAGAACCCAGAGTTAGTAGTCACTCCTATAAATTTCAGCTTGATCGGTCAACCTATTGCCTTACTTTGGTACTCGGCTAGATAGGCTCTCTAGTGACTATTAGGGTGAAAGGATTATTCATTTTCAAAAGACTTTTTACGTTGTTTAGTAGCCAGTTTATATACTCTTCGATACAGAATTTACTTCTGAACAAAACTGTATAACTGACTTCAAGTGAAAAATCCAAAATTAATTACAAAAAGTTCAGAATCTTCCCAGTCTGGGGTCATATATAGACTATACCAAACTATTGTTTATCTTCGTTCTCCACAGTGGCGTAGCCAGGAATTTTTGAGTATTGAGCAATTCCTTAGCCAATCCATTGTGAGGCTTGAGCAGCCATGGATAATTGAAAAGTCAACTGGGCTACAGTTTTTCAAAACTTCTTATCTTTTCCAAAGTCGATATCTATTGAAGATAAAATTTAACAGCCTTCAACCAACAGAAGAGTGTGTTCGGTGTTCTTGTACCACTTGATAAAAGTATTTTTTAACACTAAAGTGTCTTATCATATGTTGTGTGAAACCTACCATGATAACCATTTTTTTATGGAGTAACGCAAGTAGGTGCCTGGTTTTCAAGCCCAAGTGTAAGAAATTATTCGCTACAGATGTAAATGGTTTTTTCCGCCAGTTTTTCTCTAGCCAAATTTTCCGAAAAATGCCGTGCAGCGAATTGATTTTTCATTTTCTTGAAATCTACAATTTCGTGACGGCAAGTTGCTCGTATCGGACTTATGAACTAAGCAGCTGTTGAGGAGAACATGCAGTCAAAGGGAGTGCTGTTTTAGAATAGAACAAAATGTTTCAATGGACAAACCTAAAATTCACTAAATAAAAATTCGATTTTTCGAATATTAACAGTAAAATCTCACTTACTTGATTCAATACTAAGCCGCTGAAAGCAAACTATGATTCCATTTTCTCATTGGAAAATTGAGCATTGATTGAGTGAAATAGAATCCTTTCTCTTACTCAACAACGGATAAACAAAGTTGACACATACATTATTTTAAAAGCCGAAATCAAAAGAGAAGATTGATCAAATTAAAGGATTACTGAAAAATCTTATTTGCAAAACGAAAGTTTGTCAAATTTGCAACAAAATTGTACTTGAATAAACGGTATGCTAAGAAATTTTCCTCAAGCCGTTTATAGTTCAAGTACTTAAGGACAGCTTCTTACCATCAATTCTGCAGGCAGGACAAGGGTGAATTCCTGATTTCTTCCCCTCCATGTTTATGCCTCGATAGTGACGTCGAGCTTTAGTCTGTTCTATTTCATCGGACAATGGCAAGAGCTACTTCGCAGTTGTATGACCCTAGTGTTTAGTTGTGACGAATTACTATTTGATTTGCCACAGTTGACAATCGCTAATTTATATTTTCATAGCATTTTCATTTGTCCTTGCGATCGATTTTCATTTAGAATTTCTATGGAGTTCATTGCATTTTTAAATTTGTATGTTGTGATACTCATGTCATCACTTACGTCCCTGAAATGTTTAACTTAAAGTATTGCACTCGTTGCCATTCAATATAGTTTGGCGTGCTTTGAAAAACCACTAAACACTCATTCATGTTCTTTTAAAAATTCATTTTAGCATAAATAGTGCTTTCACTAAAATATCATTGATATGTCGTCATCATTATGATCATCGTTTAATGGAAAAGACCGTCAAGCAATCTTCTTAGAACAGTTGGCCAGATCACAACAATGGATAATCTATTACAATTTCATCAAGAAAGTCTGCGACCCTACTTGTTCATCGAAGTTTTTCATCATTGGACAGCTAGCACCATCTCAAAAATATCCTTGTGCAATAAGCATTGGAGCCTTGGGCAAATGCCCACTCGCCCACCCCTGGCTATGCCACTGCATATAGTTCGTTTTAAATAAAGTAAAAAGAATGATTGAATAAATATTTCCCAGGTCCAAAAATCTGACATCAGATCTTGCACGTACAAGATTTTTTATATGATCTTATAACAGGATCTGACAATATCGTATAAGTTGATTTTTTGTAAGCTTTGGTTCGATTCTGAATGAAAGATGCCAGCAAAAAAGGGTGTGGGTGTGGGATGTGGGTGTGGGTGTGGGGTGTGGGATGTGGGTGTAGGTGTGTGGGTGTGGGTGTGGGGTGTGGGTGTGCGTGTTGGCCTGAGTGCGTTTCTCGTGTGAAATCATGCCTACACCGACACCCACCCCACACCTCACACACACCCACATCCACCTCCACACACACCCACACCTAGGGGTGGGCGGGTTAGCATTAGTGTTAACAAAATCCTAATACTTTTGTATTAAAATAAATAATTCATTTAATACTTTTGCATTAGGGTTAAAAAAATCATTTAATGCTTTCGTATTAGTGTTAATTTTGTATTAAAAAAATACTAATACGTATCATGATTATGCAATTCGTTTATAGAACTACCATTGTAGGTTTACCGTCAGCTTCTCTATAGTTGGATTTGCTTTGTAACATTTCTATACAGAAAAAATGTCATGTATGCACCAGGATGTCATACATGTACACTTATAGTTCTTCAGAAAGCATAAATGATTTTATCAGATATCGATACTGTAAAAGAAAAACTCAATCTAAAGGTCATTTAGCGAGTATGACTCATATATTACTTGACTTTCATATGTAAGATGCCAACATGACTGAATATTTTTCGATGAAACATGCAAAGTCTTTGTTTTTCATTATAATGATTATTATTCTGTAAACGTTTGCCTAGTATGTGACGTTCCTAAGCTCTCTTCACAGCTATAGAGCACAAAAATTCATTCGAATAGGATCACTTCATGTGTGTCACCTTAATAAAATATAATTATCTAAATTTAGCCCTGTATATTTGATTATCCATAAAAATGAAAACATGGTAAATTTGTTGAACATCAGTTGATTACATCTCTAGTTATGAAGTTATTTAAAAAAACCATTAGGTACTGAATATCTACTGTTAGTTCATCAGATTACACGTAATAAAATGGAGAACAAAAAGATATTATACACATTCTCTGTGTGATATTAGTCTATATGCTTTTGATGCAGAAAGAGAAGGCAAAAGAAGAGAAAAGAAAGGACTATGAGTCACCTGTCCGACAACTTATCATAAATCAAACCAGAGAGAACGACTAATAGTGGTATGCTTTGTTATTGTTATTTCTTTTTAATAGTTTCGCTTGTTTAGTTCGTCTGCTGTAAAGAACGAAGTCAGTGTTAAATAAATACTTTATCTCATAGTCATCATTATTCACATAACAACTTCGACGTGTTTTCTTCAAGGGGGTAAGTGCAGGCACCCAGCACCCAGCACCTGTTCAGCACCTACAGCACCTACCAGCACCTACAGCACCTATTCGGCACCTATACTGCATTTCACTATGAGCACCTACAGCACCTACGGCACCTGCAACCACTCTTCAATTATCTTAAGTACTTTTTCAGCACCTGGTA